CATCCTTGTACCACGTGACGGTGGAGACCGGGAAGCCATTGCGACTAATGCATTTTGCAATCTGAGAGACAGACCGACAGACTCAAAAAAACATGGCATAACCTCCAAGTTGCAGTTAATAAGTTTGCGCATTCGTATAGAATCGCTATCCGTTTTTGTTTGTTTCATTCGTAAGCCCCCCGTTTTCGTTTTCGAGCGTCTTCCGAAAAGGGGGCGCCTTTCCGAATGGGCGTTTTCGGTCCAGATATTTTCGACCCATTGGCCACTATGGGCGGGCTTCCACAGCCTCTCCTTCCCCTCAGTTTTAGGGTCAGATGGGTGAAAATCGCCACACATGGAAGGCGCATTTACCACTCTTAGCCCACCAAGTTTTAAGATGCTTGGATCATCCTGCTGTTGTTGCTGCGCTGGGTGCCCTCCTCCTTCTCCTTCGTCTCTCATGCAAGGAAAGTGCCTCCAACCCCTCTCCTCTTCCTCCTTTGCACCTCTTACCCTTTCCTTCTTGGCTCTTAGAGCTGTCACCGGCACCTTGGGTTGTTGCTGCTCTTGCTGCCTGGCTTACTCTAGAGTAAGAGGCACGAAGGAGGAAGAGGGTTGGAGGAGGTGTATTCCTTGCATGAGAGAGGGAGGCAGCACTGCAGCATCAACAATGAATGACCCAAGGCGGACCTCCAAGAGCCAAGGAGGAGGGAAGAGTAGCCAAGCCATCTCCAAGGCATTTTAAGGAGGCTACCCACTTCCAGATAAGGAAGAGTACTGACCTCTTGGAAGAGGAGAGTAAATGAGGGTTCACTTTTAGTTTGTTGGAGGACTCATAAAAAAAAAAAAGATTAAACCGTCCTCATGAAAAGCAGACAAGGAAGCGGTACCGGCTCCTGTTTTCTTTCGTTTCGAACTAATTTTCGTTCCGGGGGGGGGGGGGGCATGTTCCTGTTTTGTGCCAACTTTATGGGGCCTCTTTCATGGCTCTGGCAACCATGATAACTACAGGAACTTGCCCCATGTTTAGCCTGGACACCCTATGCCACAATGTTCTGGCCTGGTCCTTACCTCGTGGTTCTCTGAATCAGACGCCATGATGCCGCCATCGGTCTTCTGGATCACAGGAGGTTCTGGAGCTTCTAGATGGTGAAAAGAACAAGGCCGAGGTTAGCGGCAAAGAAGAAAGGGGTGAGACAAGGGTTGGTCTGCACTCTTCCTAGGGTGCATCTACACTGTATAATTAATGCGCCTTAAGCACCATGGCTCAATGCGATGCAATCCTGGAAGTTGTAGTTTGGCGAGGCAACAGCCCTCTTTGGCAGTGAAGGCCAATTGACATTACATTATGTTAATTGACATTAATTCCAGTGTGGATGCACCTGCAACTACAACAAGAAGTTCTCCATCCTTATTTCTAACAGCTTCTAGTCTCATACATGCTATTCTGCATTGCCATGGGTTATGTCATGGGTTATAGGACTGGGTTGTGGCGCAATTGGTTGGGGGTCAGCTGCATTAAAATCACTACTGACTGAAAGGTCATGAGTTCGAAGCCAGCCCAGGTTGGAGTAAGCTCCCAACTATTTGTCTAGCTTGCTGTCGACCTTTGCAGCCTGAAAGACAGTTGCATCTTTCAAGTAGGAAATTTAGGTACCACTTATACTGATATTTAATTATTTATGTTACAATTGTTTTTAATTGCCCTATACTTGTCTCGTGATGTTTTGTATTGATGTTGTTCACCGCTTTGAGTCGCCTGAAGGCTGAGAAAAGCGGTATATAAATAAATAATAAATAAATAATAAACTTATGTGGGGAGGCTAATTTAACTAATTTATGACACTATAAAACTCTCCAGCAGCGTGCAAAAGAATGAGGAAGTACTCCATCGGTGTCACATGTGGACAGTGAAGCGACAGCTCCCCCGGTGGCCGGAATTCAAAGCATACCCTCATGAAGCTGGAAAGTTAAACAGCCTCTGTGTGTCTGTTTATATATGTTTTGTGTCTATGGCACTGAATGTTTGCCATGTATATGCGCATTATGATCCGCCCTGCGGGGTAAGAAGGGCAGAATATAAATACTGTAAATAAATGTCTTCTAACTCTCCGACTCAATGATCTTTCTGCTTTACCCCATGATCTCCATCCATATATCTCTCAGGATGACTTCAAACTTCAGGATGCCATGACCTTTCTGCCTATGATGGAATCATTGAGTTGGAAGAGACCTCATGGACCATCCAGTCCAACCCCATTCTGCCAAGAAGCATCTCCACAGTTCTCTTCAACCATCTTTCTCTGGAGCCAACCCCTAAAACTGCCCCTCTTCAGAGTTTACTATTTCCAAATTCTACTATCGACCAAGAGCAGAAGTTATCTTAAAGTTGCTTTGGGTCACCATTAAGACAGGAAAGCAGGGTATAAATATGATGATGACAATGGTGATGTTTCCAAAGACTAGGACATGGAGATGAATGGGACATCGGCCCCAAAACTACTCACTGGAGACGCGCAGCTCGGTCCGGTTCTCGCCAGCACCCAAACTGCCCAGCCCAACCTGGCAGACATAGACCTTGGCGTCCTTCAAGTGAACGTCGCTGATTTTGAGGGAAAAATTGGGCAAGATGCTTAGCCGGTCTTTGTACTTTGGATCCTTGTTTTGCTCCACATTTTGGATCATGGAGATGATCAGCTTCCGCGAATGCTTCTCCATCTGGAATACCAGGAAAAAATAGCAACAAAGGGATCAGCAAACAGATGTGTCAGAACTTCTCATCCATAAATCCATAAATCCCAACTCAAAATCAAGGGAAATATTGTATTGTCGAAGGCTTTCATGGCTGGAATCACTGGGTTGTTGTAGGTTTTTTCGGGCTATATGGCAATGTTCTAAAGGCATTCTCTCCTGACGTTTCACCTGCATCTATGGCAAGCATCCTCAAAGGTAGTGAGGTCAGGAAGTTCATCACATATGGCAGTGTTTCTCAACCTTTCTAATGCCATGACCCCTCCTGTTGTGGTGACCCCCAACCATAACATTATTTTCGTTGCTACTTCATAACTGTAATTTTGCTACTGTTATGTAAATATCTGATATGCAGGATGTATTTTCATTCACTGGACCAAATTTGGCACAAATACCTGATACGCCCAAATTTGAATATTGGTGGGGTGGGGGGGGATTGATTTTGTCATTTGGGAGTTGTAGTTGTTGGGATTTATAGTTAACCTACAATCAAAGAGCATTCTGAACTCCACCAATGAAATGAACCAAACTTGGCACACAGAACTCCCATGACCAACAGAAAATACTGGAAGGGTTTGGTGGGCATTGACCTTGAGTTTGGAGTTGTAGTTCACCTACATCCAGAGAGCACTGTGGACTCAAACAATGATGGATCTGGACCAAACTTGGCACAAATTCTCAATATGCCCAAATGTGAACACTGGTGGAGTTTGGGGAAAATAGACCTTGACATTTGGGAGTTGTAGTTGCTGGGATTTATAGTTCACCTACAATCAAAGAGCATTCTGAACTCCACTAAGGATGGAATTGAACTAATCTTGGCACACTGAACTACCATGACCAACAGAAACAGGGTTTGATGGGCATTGACCTTGAGTTTTGGAGTTGTAGATCACCTACATATAAAGAGTTTGGGGAAAGTAGACCTGGTGGAGTTTGGGGAAAATAGACCTTGACATTTGAGAGTTGTAGTTGCTGGAATTTATAGTTCACCCGCAATCAAAGAGCATTCTGAACTCCACTAAGGATGGAATTGAACCAATCTTGGCACATAGAACTCCCATGACAAACAGAAACAGGGTTTGATGGGCACTGACCTTGAGTTTTGGAGTTGTAGTTTACCTACACCCAGAGAGCACTGTGGACTCAAACAATGATGGATCTGGACCAAACTTGGCATGGATACTTAATATGCCCAAATGTGAACACTGGTTGGGTTTGGGGAAAATAGACCTTGACATTTGAGAGTTGTAGTTGCTGGGATTTATAGTTCACCTACAATCAAAGAGCATTCTGAACCCCACCAACGACAGAATTGGGCCAAACTTCTCATACAGAACCCCCATGACCAACAGAAAATACTGTGTTTTCTGATGGTCTTTGGGTACCCCTCTGACACCCCCTCACGACCCCCCGAGGGGTCCCGACCCCCAGGTTGAGAAACATTGTCATAAGGACCTTGGCATCCAAATAACTTGCTGCCAGCCAAGAGAAGAGTTTGACTAGAACTAGGAAACTTTGCCTTCTTCTTTTTGGACTGCAACTCCCCAAATCCTGCTGCCAATGCTTTGGGATTCTGGGAGTTGCGAACCGAAAAGGAAAGAAGGGATGTTTCCTACCTCTTCTTGTAATCATTGACAAACCACAGCTACTTTAATGTCTGGAATTCCATTCCTGCCATTGAGGATTACGCTTGAACAGGACAGGGCTTGCCTTGGAGTGGACATGCACAGACTTGTATGGTTCATTTGACATTGTAATGGCTATTATATACTACCTTGAACTATCAGTTCTAAAATATGTATGCGTATGTATGTATATGTATATACATATGTGTGAGTTTGTCTGCCACTACTCTTTTCCACCAGATTCCAAGGAAGCCCCTCGGATACTGGACCTGTGCCTGGCTGCTGTGGCGACCTGGATGTGGAAGAACAAGCTAAGGATCAATCCTGACAAGACAGAGGTCCTCCAGGTCAGTCACTCGGCTGATCAGGGTATTGGGTGGCAACCTGTGCTGGACGGGGTTTGACTCCCCCTGAAATCACAGGTCCGCAGTTTGGGAGTCCTCCTGGACTCAATGTTGACACCTGATGTGCAGGTGTCAGCGGTGGCCGGGAGGGCCTTCGCACAACTAAAACTCGTGCACCAACTGCGACCTTACCTCATGAAGTCTGACTTGACCATGGTGGTCCATGCCTTAGTTACCTCTAGACTGGACTACTGTAATGCTCTCTATGTGGGGCTACCCTTGAAGACGGCCCGGAAACTAGAACTTGTCCAACATTCAGCAGCCAGATTAATAACTGGGGCAACCTACAGGGAGCGGTCAACCCCCCTGTCTAAGGAGCTCCACTGGCTGCCGTTTATTTTCCAGTCCCAATTCAAGGTGCAGGTTATCACCTACAAAGCCCTAAACGGTTTGGGATCCGCCTCCCTTTGTGACCGTATCTCCCTCCATGAACCACCTCGGGCCCTCCGATACTTTGGGGAGGCCCTTCTCTCGCCCCTGCCAGTCTCTCAAGCTCGTCTAGTGAGTACAAGGGAGAGAGCCTTTTCCGCTGTGACTCCCCAACTCTGGAACTCACTGCCTCGAGAAATTAGGAAAGCCCCTTCCCTTGAGATCTTCAAAAAGAACCTTAAAACCTGGCTCTTCCAATGCCTTTGAGGAGTAGGTATATAATCCCACATGATTGGAATGAGCCCTCCTCCGTAAATTACCTGCTTTTTTTATTTTTCATATTGTTATGTATTCATGTGTTTTATTTAACTATGATGTTATTGTTTATTGTTTGCATTTTCAGTTTGTGTTTTTGGTTTTTCCTTTATTGTAATTGTCATTTGGGCTTAGCCTCCAAGTCCCCATTGGGGAGATGGGTAACAAATAAAGTTTATTACTATTTATTATTATTAAAGCAGCGTCTGAATACAGTCAATATTTACAGAAAAATAATAGGAAATGCAACATGTTGTCTTTGAAGTGGAGAGGGACCACCTACAATTTTCTGCATTCCAACCACCCAATGTTTACTTTTGTGGGAATTCCTTAAACCATGGGTATGATTATTATACCATAATTCTATGGCTGTAATAATAATAATAATAATTATAATTATAATTATTATTATTATTACTTTTCTGAGAATTGCCACACGGTGGCAGCATTGGGTTTCCTCAGCCAGAAATGTGTATTCATACTTTTGAACAAAACCACCATCTGGCTTTCATAGGGGAAGCTTTGAGATTATACAGACAGAAATCAACACCAGGAATTAATAGCTGTGGCGGATGTGGCCGTTTTTGTGGGCTCAAATAGTACACAAAATGCTGAAGAGGTGTATAAAGTGAAGCAGGAAGGATGAAGGAATCATGAAACGGTGCAAGAAAGAGGTGGCGTTACTCGGAAGCTTGCATCCTTTGTCAAGTCCAGTTGTGACCAATATTGGCAAGACCTCCCTCCAAATCCTGTTTTCAACTCACCACGTGCCAGTGGACATAAGTGTAGTTGGCATTCTCCGGGACGGAGAAACGACATTCGATGAGAGCCGTCTTCCCAATTTCCGCCTCCACCGTTTCGGGTGTAAAGACTTCCAAATTCCCATGTGCCCCTGAAACAGAGAGACAATGCAAGAAATGTATTGTAAACTGATAGCTGCAGGAAATCTGCTGACCGGAAGGCTGGGAGTTCAAAGTCGTGAGTTGGGGGTGAGATCCTGATTGTCAGCCCTATTATTATTAATATTCTATAATCATCCATAATATTGATATATAGGTATAGGTTGTCCCCTGACATTAAGTCCAGTCATGTCTGACTCTGAGGGTGGTGCTCATCTCCATTTCTAAGCTGAAGAGCCGGCGCTGTCCATAGACACCTCCTAGGTCATGTGGCCAGCATGACTATATGGAGTGTCGTGACCTTCCCACCAGAGCAGAACCTATTGATCTACTCATATTTGCATGTTTTCAAACTGCTAGGTTGGCAGAAGCTAGGGCTGACAGCGGAAGCTCACGCCACTCCCCGGAATTGAACCTGTGACCTTTCGGTCAACAAGCTCAGCAGCTCAGCGCTTTAACCCACTGCGCCACTGGGGGCATAATAATAATAATCCATAATAATCCATACTATTAATATTTTGCTATTATTCTATTTCTATTTCTATTATTGTAAACTGATAGCTGCAGGAAATCTGCTGACCGGAAGGTTGGCAGTTCAAAGTTGTGAGTTGGGGTGAGCTCCTGATTGTATCTGTCGTATTATTATTATTATTATTATTCCATAATCATCCATAATATTAATATTTTGCTATTATTCTATTTCTATTTCTATTATTGTAAACTTACAGCTGCAGGAAATCTGCTGACCAGAAGGTTGGCAGTTCAAAGTCGTGAGTTGGGGTGAGCTCCTGATTGTCAGTCGTATTATTATTATTATTATTATTATTCCATAATTATCCATAATATTAATATTTTGCTATTATTTTATTTCTATTATTGTAAACTAATAGCTGAAGGAAATCTGCTAACCGGAAAGTTGTGAGTTGGGGGTGAGCTCCTGATTGTCAGTCATATTATTATTATTATTATTATTATTATTATTATTATTATTCCATAATCATCCATAATATTAATATTTTGCTATTATTTATCCCAATTTAACCATTTAAGATATGTAGATGTAAAATTAAAACACACATTAATATCACCCAAGCCAATAAAACGTCAATTCAAAATGTATACAAGTGGAGGAAACTACAGATCCTGATAGCGTAAGGTCAGATTGCTCTCTATCCTACAAAATCCATAGATAAAGAGCAACATATAATGCAAAAAGTTTGCTTCTAGGCGAGTAATTGCACTGGTATCTCCCCACTTATGGCACAAATATGGTCACAACGGAGTAGAAACCCTTCCTATGAGTCACGTAACTGGCTTCCTCCCAGAATTTGGCCCTGAGTTTCTATTCTTTTTTGGGGACGGAGGGGAAGAAGAGAGAGGGGAGCAGCTGGGCTTCTTCCAAAACGCACAAAGAGACCATCGCGGCTGTTTCCGTCCATCGCAAGAGGCGGAAACTGGCAGAAATCAACTCTCCAGATGCTGTTTGCAAGGGAACAAACAGGTGGGCAGCCAGAGACGAGGCACAAGGGGGGCATTATTCCGTAAAGGGCAACGCTCCCAAAAGCTCTCCGGTTACCAGCCCTTCATCCCAGTCCCATTCCACCCATCGCAGCCAGGATCCCACCATTGCATGGATTCAATGCACACCGTTATATCGCTAGGTTGGAGTTGTACTCAATTGTACCGTTGCACATCTGGATACACAAAGTATAAGGCTGAGTCTCCCTTATCTGATAGGTTTCCAACCTGAAGAGTTCTGGATTTGGGACTTTTTGACATATTAGAATATTTAATCTCTCATTTATACACACACACACACACACACATCTATCTCTATAAATAAAAATGTAATGTTCATTTGTGGGATTAACATAACTCAAAAACCACTGGACGAATTGACACCAAATTTGGACACAAGACACCTAACAACCCAATGTATGCCCTTCACTCAAAAAAATTGATTTTTTTTCATTTGGGAGTTGTAGTTGATGGGATTTATAGTTCACCTACAATCAAAGAGCATTCTGAACTCAATGATGGAACTGAACACAGGACTGCCATGCCCAAAAGAAAATACCAGAAGGGTTTGGCAGGCATTGACCTTGAGTTTGGGAGTTGTAGTTCACCTACATCCAGAGGGCACTGTGGACTCAAACAATGATGATTCTGGACCGAACTATGAACATAGATGGAGTTTGGGGGAAATAGACCTTGACATTTGGGAGTAGTAGTTGCTGGGATTTCTAGTTCACCTACAATCAAAGAGCATTTTGAACTCCACCAACGACTGAATTGGGGCAAACTTTCCACACAGAACTCCCAAGACCAACAGAAAATGCTTAAGGCCATCCAGTCCAACTCCCTTCACTAGGGCAAGAAAACGTAATCAAATACTGTTCACTCACAAGCATAAAGAAATTAAATATATTGTGTTTATTGTAATTTTATATCGTTATGCATTCATATGTTTTATGTAATTATGATGTTATTGTTTATTGTTTGTGTTTTCGGTTTTATTTTCCTGTAATTTGTTGTTTGGGCTTGGCCTCATGTAAGCTGCCCCAAGTCCCCATTGGGGAGATGGTGGCGGGGTATAAATAAAGATTATTATTATTATTATTATTATTATTATTATTATTATTATTATATTAGAAACCAACACTTTCTCATTACTTTATTTTCCAGATCACAAGACTGGGCCACAGCAACGCGTGGCAGGGGATAGCTAGTCTATATAAATAAAAATTTGTGGGATTAACAGAACTCAAAAACCACTGGACGAATTGGCACCAAATTTGGACACAAGACACCTAACAACCCAATGTATGTCCTTCACTCAAAAAAAATGTATTTTGTCATTTGGGAGTTGTAGTTGCTGGGATTTATAGTTCACCTACAATCAAAGAGCATTCTGAACCCACCAACGATGGAATTGAACCAAACTTGGCACACAGTTCTCCCATGACCAATAGAAAATACTGGAAGGGTTTGGTGGGCAGTGTCCTTTGGTTTTGGAGTTGTAGTTCACCTACATCCAGAGATCACTGAGGACTCAAACAATGATGGATCTGGACCAAGCTATACAGGAATACTCAATAAGCTCAAATGTGAACACTGGTAGAGTTTGGGAAAAATAGAATCTTGACATTTGGGAGTTGTAGTTGCTGGGATTTATAGTTCACCTACAATCAAAAAGCATTCTGAACCCCACCAGATAGAATTGGACCACACTTTCTACATAGGGCCCCCGTGACCAACAGAAAATACTGTGTTTTTATTATTATTAATATTAATATTAATAATAATATAACAGTCAGCAGTGTCTGCTGTGGACTCATCTTGTTGCGTTTCAAATAATAATAATAATAATAATAATAATATTTTTTGTAATCCGCCCTATTTTCCCAAAGGGACTCAGGACAGATTCCAACCACAAAAGGCAAACATTCAATGCCTAAATACAACAACCAATATAGATATAATAGTGAATATATCATCATCATCATCATCATCATCATCATCATTTAATAACTTATTAATCGCCCTCCATCCAAGAATGCTCCATCCGAGAATGCTCTAAATTTAAACGAAACATAACCTATCAAATAAATTATATCTAACATAAAGCAAAACATCAAACAGAAGCATCCATTTACCGAAATCAACTAGGTTCATTAGGCCATGTAAGTTTTAACGTCCCTGAATGTGTTTGTCGGCCTCTCCAATGCTTTTTATTGTATTCTTCCCTTATTTTGCTGAACTGCTGACCTGAAGGTCGGCAGTTCAAATCTGCGGGACAGTTCCCACTGTTAGCCCTAGCTCCTGCCAACCTAGCAGTTCGAAAACATGCAAATGTGAGTAGATCAATAGGTACAGCTTCGGCGGGAAAAGGCAAAAAGGCGCTCCAAATAGTCATGCCAGCCACACGACCAGGAGGTGTCTACGGACAACGCAGGCACAGAGCACCTTCCCTAGAGCCAGAGTTTAATGCTGCCTCCAGAGCCGGAAATGAAAGGAGAAGCCTTTGCCTTTGTCTATGTATTTGGTTCTCATTTTATTTCAAGGCATCAAATGTTTATGTTTTGGTCTAATAAAGACGGCACTTCCACATGGACTTCCCATTTGTGTGAAAGAAGTCAGGGACACGTTCCCAGCCGGATGCTTCTGGGAAGACCAACATTAAACCGATTTGGGATTTTTGTCCCAACGCTGGAGTGGAAACAGAGATGGAAACAGAAAACGGCATTAAAAGTGCTATTTTAAAAATATTAAATATTAAAACACAATTAAGTCAGGAGCAATTTGAAACCGCAAGTAATAAAAAGGGCAGCCCCCCCACTCAGGAAGCCTCCCTTCCTTGCAGCAAAGCAGCTGCTAAAAGCAGGCACGAAGGGAAACGTCTCTGGAGGATCGGATTTCGGCACGGAAGCAAGAACCGGGTTTGCCCCTGGCGCCCGACACAAGGCTTATCGAACTATCAACTTGCATTCGCAAAACAGGAATATTTGTTTCAGGGTGCATCTACACTGCAGAATTAATGCAGTTTGGCACCACTTGAACTGCCGCAGCTCAACGCGATGGAATCCTAGGAGTTGCAGTTCCCCATGTTCAATCTTTATAACCTTCTCTGCCAAAGAGGGCTGGTGCCTCACCAAAGTACAACTCCCATGATTAATGTGCCCTGCTGCCTACAATTACATATATCAGAACAGGATGATGGGTGTTGTAGTGCAAAAGGTCATTATTTCCAGGCTCTGATAACAAAGTTTTCACCATTTCAGCACAAATAAGGAATAGGATAGAAAAAGTAGGAAGCCTTCACTGAGTTGCAGAGGACACTAAGATATATAGGTTGGATAGGTAAAGGTAAGGAAAGGTAAAGGTTTCCCCTTGACATTAAGTCTAGTCGAGTCCGACTCTGGGGAGTGGTGCTCATCTCCATTTCTAAGTCATAGAATCATACACACATAGCATATTTTTTACTTTTATTATG